TCTGGCGGCTGGCTCTGCTGGTCTGCTTCACCTTCACCGTCACCATAGGAACGTTTCCCGCCATCACTGCCGACACCAAATCCACCCTCGCTGACGGAGGCTCCTGGGGTAAGTCGTCCCTTTGGGTGTGCTCAGAAAAGGTTTCTTCTTCTGTGGTGGTCTTATGTTTTCAACCATCTCCATATTAAAACCTCATATATAAAAGGGCTGCACTGTGGTTGCCTCGCAGCACAGAGGGGCCGGGTATCGAGTCCCCGGCTGGACGGCCCTTCTGTGTGGAGTTAGCGTGTGCTTCACGTGTCAGCGTGGGGCCTCTGGCCTCCTCCCACAGTCCACAGACATGCAGCTCAGGTTAATAGTTTGTCTGTGATGATCGTCTGGGGAACATATATCGGCTCCGGCGACCCCGATCACATAAAGAAGATGAGTGAAAGAAGTGAACAAAGCATGACAATAGGTTGAGTTGAAGCACAGCATGGGGAGTGTTCACTGAAAGGTGTGTTTAATTAAAGTGTAAGTATTGAAAATAATGTAAAATAAAATGTAATTAATATAATTAAATCCATGACAGAGAGATGAGCATTTCAAAGTGGAAAAGGTTCAAAAGGATTTGAAGATTAAAAGAAAATGTTGAAAAATGTTTAATGTTCTCAAGTACAAACAGTAAAAGACACATGAAGAAGAACAGTGCTGCTGCTGAGTCAGCATTCACACTGAATACAGTGTGTCTCAGTATTCTGTCTAATGCACCTTCAGATGTTTGGTGATGGACAGAAACACCAGAAGAAGAAGAAGTTCTGCACTTTAGCTGATTACTTAGAACCTCAAGAGTCACTTTGTCTCACTTCACAGATCAACTCGTTGTTTGAGTCTTTTTGTTTTCTTCAACAGAGCAGTTCTTCATCCCAGTCAGCTGCTTCCTGCTCTTTAACCTGTGTGACTGGGCCGGGCGGAGCTTAACGGCAGTCTGTATGTGGGTGAGTTCCATATCGAGCACTACATGTCCTCTGTCTCCACCCGGTTCATGCAGTCTGTCCTCTGTCTCCACCCGGTTCATGCAGTCTGTCCTCTGTCTCCACCYGATTCATGCARTCTGTCCTCTGTCTCCACCCGGTTCATGCAGTCTGTCCTGTCTCCACCCGGTTCATGCAGTCTGTCCTCTGTCTCCACCCGGTTCATGCAGTCTGTCCTCTGTCTCCACCCGGTTCATGCAGTCTGTCCTCTGTCTCCACCCGGTTCATGGAGTCTGTCCTCTGTCTCCACCCGGTTCATGGAGTCTGTCCTCTGTCTCCACCCGGTTCATACAGTCTGTCCTCTGTCTCCACCCGTTCATGCAGTCTGTCCTCTGTCTCCACCCGTTCATGCAGTCTGTCCTCTGTCTCCACCCGTTCATACAGTCTGTCCTCTGTCTCCACCCGTTCATGGAGTCTGTCCTCTGTCTCCACCCATTCATGCAGTCTGTCCTCTGTCTCAGTTCATTCAGTGACTTGTGATCGTGTGTTCGTCCCTCTCTATGTGTTGTTTAATATTGTGTGTAGATGTATTGATAATTGTTGAATTTATGAGTCATTATCTCTGTTTCCAGCCGAGGAAGGACAGCATGGTACTTCCTGTGTCCATCTTGTGTCGTCTCATCTTCGTCCCTCTTTTCATGCTGTGTAACGTTCAGCCTCGTCTTCACCTTCCCGTCTTCTTCCATCACGACGGCTGGTTCATCTTCTTCATGATCCTCTTCGCCTTCAGTAATGGATACCTGGCCAGCCTCTGCATGTGCTTTGGTCCAAAGTAAGAAACAGTGGTTACAGTAACGTAACCCTAGTTCTATAAGCAGAGGTTGAGCCCTCAACGGGACTCAATAGGTAACACTCTCTTCCATGTGTGGACCCCACAGTACATCAGGCAGCACACACTGCTGTCCCACATCCTCTTCATTGAGCGCTGTAGGAACGACAGAGCTCCGAGGTAGAGGGCTCTGCCTGTGCTCATAGAACCAGGGTTACAGTGATGTAACCTTCTGATGTGTCTGATTCATATTACTCAGTTACAGTATCATCATCTGCATTTATGATTATATTAATAACATTGAAAATAACCCAAACTGTCTCATGAAAGTACTGCTGTATTCTTGTACCTGTAAACTTCATCTTAATTACTGTAGTTATAAAAACTATTTCATATTTAGTGATAAGTGTGAGTAAGTAATATATACTACTTGTTGTTTCAGGAATGTTCTCCCTCATGAAGCAGAAACAGCCGGGGCCATCATGGCTTTCTTCCTGTCGCTGGGTTTGGCTTCAGGGGCTGCTCTGTCCTTTCTCTTAAGAGCACTGGTTTAACTGGAGAACGACCTCTTTATTACTGGATTACCATGGAACCCAACTGCTTATTACTGGTTCAACTGGAAAAATACTTGCTTACCAAAACACCCTGTTTTTATGGGTTTTATGGGTCATTAAAACATTTATGTTAAGTTCAAGTTTCCATCTATGCTACGAGTTACAACTGAAAGTCAATGTTTTAGATGTTCCAGCACGCTGACTTCTTCAAGATGAACCTGAATGTTTGAGAAAAGAAGTTCAAAGTTTCTGGTTTTCATGCAGCTCAACAGACCAAAGTGAACGTCGTGATGTTGGTGCTACAGCAGCGTCATCGGGAACATGAACTCCTGCAGTAAAGTTGATCTGTGTCTGACATGATGAGGCCTCTGATGGGACAAAGTGATGGGAAGAGAATGTAGACGTCTCTATATACATATACACATATATATACACATATATACGCATATATATATGCATATATACGCATATATATATGCATGTATACGCATATATATATGCATATATATATATATATATATATATATATGCATGCATATGCATATATATATGCATATATATATATATATATATATATATATATGCATATATATATATGTATATATATATGCATATATGCATATATATATATATATGTGTATATATAGTATGATAAAAAAAGTATCATATTTATTATTATCCACCCAAGATCTTCCTCGTTGCCGGTGTTTTGGTACATTTTGTAAAAAGAACAAAAACAAGTTTAATGAAATCTTTAAGTAAAGAGTTAAAACATCAAAGTGTGGTTCACATTTTGTACTAGCTTGTCATTTGCAAGTGCCTTCATCATTTCAAGTGTTGATTGTAAAAAGAAGTGTTGCATATGTATATATGTTTACATATACACATACATATATACATATGTGTGTATATATGCACATATATGTGTATATATATATACACATATATATACGTGTATATATATGCACATATATGTCGAAAAAAATCACAAAAAAGTGATTGTATAGGATGTTGCCAAAAGTGATAGTATTGTATGTCATAGTCATGTATGATGTCATGTATACTATGACTTTTTATTACTTTTCACGATTTATAATACTGTGATTTTTTTACGACATACAATACTGACTACTACTACTACTTATTTCATTAGTTTGCTTATTGTGTTATTTGTTATTGTATTTATTTTTGTTGACACTAAGGGGCACTGAACACCAGGAAGGGAACTGGTTTTTACTTGATTATTATTTTTAAGAGAGGGACTGCTTTTGATCACTACAATGAAATCAACCTTCACTGCAAATCCTGATGTAAGTTTTGTTTTGATATTTTTTCTCTCTGACTACAGAAAGTTAAAACAACAACAACCTTGGAGCAAAGATTCCTGGAACAAAAAGGAACATTTGTTGGATTCTCTGGAGTTCATGTGATGAGCTTTGTCTTTCGCCAAGACGCCAAAACAAAGGAAGGCAAAGCAGTAAGCGTGCACAGAGCGCAGCATTGACTGTCATGTTTCCACTGCTTAGCGTTGTCCTCTGTTGGTTTTCATTGAGGTGACGGTGTTTGTCTGATTGGGTTCGGGTAATAGAGAGAAAAGTTTTGAAAAGTTAGTGCTAACCTCACAGGATGTTATGTGCCTGTTGGTATCTTGCCAGAGCACCAGTGTATTGAGTTTGGAGTCACTAGCTCATTCCTTTGGTATAGCTGCCATAGACTCCTCTTCGTTGTGTTGGGTTGTGGTTAAGAGTTAGGATTGTTTTCCGACGCCGTGAGTTTCACTTCGTCAGAAAAATGCACTGTCAATGAAAACAATAATTTATTATACATGCATAAAATATGAATAGTGCAAAGTCTTTGTTGATTGGACTCCATCCTGAAGTAGGATAACCGAGGGATAGGGATGCTGAGGTCAGACAAGGCTTAATCCCCCTAAAACAGGAAACCGTCAGATCGACCAGCAAATGGAGAACATGGTCACGTTAGACCAGAGAATAGTGTGAGTCAAACAGACTGGAGTGCAACGGCATTATACCGTGATGAGAGAAGATCCACTTCAACAATAGAATGCGAGAAGTAGCTTTAGAGATACTATGAATGAGATGATGCTATCCCATGTGTTACGTGTTATGTACGTGTTAGAAATACTTCAGTCAGAAATACTTCAGTCAATACTTGAGTCTCTTTTTTGGATATCTGTACTTTACTTTACTAATATTTCTCTTGACTTACTTCACTACATTTTGCAAAGAAAACTGATACTTTGACTCCGATACATTTCCCCTGAAACCTTCGTTACTCGCTACAAAATCAAATCTATCTTCAGAAACAAAATGAATCATGAGACCAACGTCGGGGACTGTGGTGGAACAGAGACTGCAAGCAAGCAGGTTTGGTGAATCAGTGGTCCTGATTCACCAAACTCATTCGATGAGTGTCTGCTGACTTTACCGCAGCGATGTCCAGTAGTCTCCATTCCTCCACCGCTGACAGTGAGCAACGGACTTTCAAAATAAAAAAATGCGTTAACGTGCTATAAAATAATTGTCGGCGTTAATGAATGAATGCGTTATCGTGTTAACTTGCCCAGCACTATTGTGTGTGTGTGTGTGTGTGTGTGTGTATATATGTGTGTGTATGTGTATATATGTGTGTGTGTGTGTATATATGTATATGTATATATGTATATGTGTGTATATGTGTATGTGTATATATGTGTATATGTATATATATGTGTATATATGTATGTGTATATATGTGTATACATGTGTATATATATGTATATACATGTATATGTATATGTATATACATATATATGTATGTATATACAGTTGTGTGAAAAAGTGTTTGCCCCCTTCCTGATTTCTTATTTTTTTGCATGTTTGTCACACTTAAATGTTTCAGATCATCAAACAAATTAAAATATTAGACAAAGATAACACAAGTAAACACAAAATGCAGTTTTTAAATGAAGGTTTTTATTATTAAGGGGGAAAAAAAAATCCAAACCTACATGGCCCTGTGTGAAAAAGTGATTGCCCCCCCCTGTTAAAACATAAATTAACTGTGGTTTATCACATCTTTGGAAAGCTGAGTTCAATTTCTCTAGCCACACCCAGGCCTGATTACTGCCACACCTGTTCTCAATCAAGAAATCACTTAAATAGGACCTGCCTGACAAAGTGAGGTAGACCAAAAGATCCTCAAAAGCTAGACATCATGCTGCGATCCAAAGAAATTCAGGAACAAATGAGAAACAAAGTAATTGAGATCTATCAGTCTGGAAAAAGTTACAAAGCCATTTCTAAAGCTTTGGGACTCCAGCGAACCACAGTGAGAGCCATTATCCACAAATGGCGAAAACATGGAACAGTGGTGAACCTTCCCAGGAGTGACCGGCCGACCAAAATTACCCCAAGAGCGCAGCGACGACTCATCCAAGAGGTCACAAAAGACCCCAGAACAACATCCAAAGAACTGCAGGCCTCACTTGCCTCAATTAAGGTCAGTGTTCATGACTCCACCATAAGAAAGAGACTGGGCAAAAATGGCCTGCATGGCAGAGTTCCAAGACGAAAACCACTGCTGAGCAAAAAGAACATAAAGGCTCGTCTCAGTTTTGCCAGAAAACATCTTGATGATCCCCAAGACTTTTGGGAAAATACTCTGTGGACTGACGAGACAAAAGTTGAACTTTGTGGAAGGTGTATGTCCCATTACATCTGGCGTAAAAGTAACACGGCATTTCAGAAAAGGAACATGATACCAACAGTAAAATATGGTGGTGGTAGTGTGATGGTCTGGGGCTGTTTTGCTGCTTCAGGACCTGGAAGACTTGCTGTGGTAAATGGAACCATGAATTCTGCCGTCTACCAAAAAATCCTGAAGGAGAATGTCCGGCCATCTGTTCGTGACCTCAAGCTGAAGCGCACTTGGGTTCTGCAGCAGGGCAATGATCCAAAACACACCAGCAAGTCCACCTCTGAATGGCTTAAGAAAAACAAAATGAAGACTTTGGAGTGGCCTAGTCAAAGTCCCGACCTGAATCCGATTGAGATGCTGTGGCATGACCTTAAAAAGGCGGTTCATGCTCGAAAACCCTCCAATGTGGCTGAATTACAACAATTCTGCAAAGATGAGTGGGCCAAAATTCCTCTACAGCGCTGTAAAAGACTCATTGCCAGTTATCGCAAACGCTTGATTGCAGTTGTTGCTGCTAAGGGTGGCCCTACCAGTTATTAGGTTTAGGGGGCAATCACTTTTTCACACAGGGCCATGTAGGTTTGGATTTTTTCCCCCCTTAATAATAAAAACCTTCATTTAAAAACTGCATTTTGTGTTTACTTGTGTTATCTTTGTCTCATATTTAAATTAGTTTGATGATCTGAAACATTTAAGTGTGACAAACATGCAAAAAAATAAGAAATCAGGAAGGGGGCAAACACTTTTTCACACAACTGTATGTATGTGTATGAGAGATTTATGAAACGAAATGCATAAATTCAGTTTCACATGTGATAGAAAGCTTCTATGGATCATATGACGTCTCACATAAGTTCCACAGAAGAAGGAAAAGAAACAAAGCGAACACATGAAATGAATTTCATAACTGTTGAGAGACGTTGTCACAGCTGTTCCACTCTGAGGCTCTCGTCTGCAGGAAGCTGCTGTGACAGCAGGTGGAGATGAAGAGCAGCTGCAGTCAGGTGAACCTCAGATCAACTCTGCACCACTTTAAAGCTGTAATGATGAACACATTCATGATTTCACAACACATGTTTGATGGCAATATCCATTCATAACTGTCTCTGTGTACACACACACACTTAACAACTACAGCAGCGTTTGACAAAGGTCAGACTCCACTGCTCGTTGTGGTGTTCATTTAGACTAAAACACAAACCAAGAAACTAAATATACGAAACAACAAATATAATTAAACTAAAAGAATAACTAAAAAAAGACAAAGATATCGAAATCCTTCAGAAATCTACTCCAAATCAGCAAACGTCTGGATAACATAACTGAGTACTAACATCAAATAAAAACTATCAACTTTAAAGTACAACTTGTGCTCCTGATGTGTGAGTGTGTGTGAGAGTGTGTGTGAGTGTGTGTGTGAGTGTGAGAGTGTGTGTGAGAGTGTGTGTGAGTGTGTGTGTGAGTGTGAGAGTGTGTGTGAGAGTGTGTGTGAGTGTGTGTGTGTGTGAGAGAGTGTGTGAGGGAGTGAGAGAGAGAGAGTGTGTGAGAGTGCGTGTGTGTATGCGTGTGTGACAGTGTGCGTGTGACAGTGTGAGTGAGAGAGTGATGCTACGTCCACATTACTCCGTTTCTATTTTCATGTTTTGCTACGTTCACACTGAGCGTCTTCACTACGCCGGAGTGTCGGAGCACCGAAAACGGATACGTTTGAAAACTTTCTAAACCCTTCATTTTCATTTTCACTCACACACACATGCTAGTGTGTCTAGTGTCTAGTTTCTAATGTGTGTATTAAATGTACAAGTTTGTCATCTAAAGAATCTAAAGTTAACTCACCCTCTGTGTTGTGTTGTGCCACGTCGTGTCGCCATGCGTCGCGATACGTCGCGTTGCGTTGTGTGTGTGTGCGTCGGTCGGTCCCTCTCTGGGCTCCGCCCCGTCGCCTGCTCCTGCTCTCAGTCTGACGGCTGATGTTGAGCCCTCCCACTTGTCCTGTTATTGTTTCGTGGAGATTGTGTCTCTTCTCCAATGTCCAAGTTGCCACATTGATGGCACACAAAGCTTTCAGCTGGTGTGTTTTCTAAAGTCTCTGCCCCTCAACTTTGCTCTACCGCCCTGTTGTCTCTGTCCTTTCCTCCTCTCCCTGTCCTGATACATTGTCAGCTGGGCATCCTTGAGTTTGCGCTGACAAAACGTATCTCTGCTTGTTCTCTGTCGTTGTTCTGCTCCTCAGCGTATTCAGCATGTTGCAATATTGCAGTCTTCCATGTCACACAACTCTCTTGGGTGTGATGTTTTCCAGGCTCATGGATGATGTAGAAGTTGTCCATTATTCACGCCGCGCCATCGCGAGTATGCGTCACTCCAGCCTCATCGCGTCTGTGCAGAGACTTCGTATGTGATCTACTCCCACAGTTGGTGTGAACACAGCGTGAGGACGTCCCGAGGAACCTTCGCAGCCGTCACTTCCTCCTCACAGACCTCACAGATTATGGATATGATTGATTTTACGCAAATATATTTCAAGACAAAAACACATTTTCCTCCTGCATCAGCAAGCATGAAAACTAAATTATTGACATCAATAAGATTATTAACAAGTATTAATAATAACGGGGCAGTAACAGTGAAGGCCACATATCAGCTATTATCACAACACACAAAGTCATCACAGACAGCTGCTCTTTAACTTCAATTCAATGTATCTTTCTACAGCCCAAAATCACAAATCACAAGTTAGCCTCAGAGGGCTTTACAATCTGTACACATGCGACATCCTCTGACCTTTGACCCTCACATCGGAGCAGGAAGAACTCCCCAAAACCCTTTAACGGGAGAAAAGAGGGAGAGCAGCAGAGGAGGATCCTCTCCCAGGATGAGTGTGATAGATGTGATGTGTACAGAATGAACCACACAACAGAGTTACAACACATTCAATGCATATCACAGAACCACGGCAGGAGGCCAGACCAGGGTCCAGGTAGAACCAGGACCAGGATTTAAAGTATAACAGAGTCAAGTCAATAATAATATAAAGCTAACAACAGCTACTGTACAATTACAAGCCGACTATCTAAAATCAACAGAACATCGTGTCTGTGGGGAGAAGCGAGATCAGAAGGAGAAACTGGTGGCCGTGATCTCGTACGTGATCTCGTACGTGATCTCGTACGTGATCTCGTACGTGATCTCGTACGTGATCACGCTACACAAGACGACAGACATGGCAGCGAGGCCACGATCATTGAACAGAGCAATGAGACATACAGTAGAGGCAGCGTCTACACACTACATGTGCCTGAGATAACACAACAGCACAACCTGTATGTGTGTGTGTGTGTGTGTGTGTGGGTTAGTTAAACAATAAGGAAAACACTCAAAACAAGGCATATCCTCAGCGCCGCAGTAAAACACAGCGACTGTTTATCACACAGGAAAGGTTCTGGTCTTCCAACTGATGAAGTTAGTTACCACCCTCACCCTCACTTGCAGTGACTGATCGAACCACAACACCATGACAGCAGCAGTAACGGTGACTTTACACAACGGCAGTCCATAAACAGACACACTGACACATTAATATTACAGTAAAGTTAGAACAAAACAAACAAGCTTATAGTCACACTATGACCTATTTATGCCCCGACACAAGCCTCTTACTCTGACATGTCTTCGTAGCGGTCGGACCCCCGTGGTGCCTGTGGCCCTCGTCCAATGAGAGCTCAGTGTTGAGTTCGGACCCAAAATCACACATCGGTGAGATTTAACGTCTGGTGGGCTCAGTGCCTGATTTAACCCATCAGCCTGTTGACCATGTAGGCCCAACTCGCTCTGTTCCAAGCACATGGTGGAGTCCCTACATAGTCATGTGTTCACTCATCATGTGTTCACTCATCATGTGTTCATTCATCACGTGTACATTCATCACGTGTTCACTCATCACGTGTTCACTCATCACGTGTTCA